AAGAAAAAAATTATATCTGTAATTTTATCAACTTTACTCCAAGTTAGTACTTTATGTAGAATTAGCTACGTTATGTATTACGTTGTTGTTTTATTTTGGTCTTTACTGTTAGCTGGCTTTTATTAGAAAAGTATATTCCAAATTACAATAACTGCATATCTTAAGTACTAAAAATTATTAGATATGTTCTTGAACCCACTTGAATGTCAAAGTACTGAAATTATTTCTCAAGCTTCGAACCCGTAATCAGCCACCTACGTGTCCAAAGGGTGCAGCCACTAAATCTTAATTGTACGTACATAATAACAGACAATATTTGATCGTTTGTTTATACAAACATAGCTAAGATATATTAAAATTAATTGTCATTTAATATATTCGTTCATCTATACTTTTTTCTCTTATCTAATCTGAAAAAAAGGAATTATTATGTTCTAAAGAGTGAAGTAGACATATTTAAGTATCTTTCTAATACAGTCTTCAGCGTACATGTTATTTGATGGTCGCTTTGTATGTTTAAGATCTATCGTGAATGGGATAATATTGAAAGCCAGTGATGGCTAAAGAATAAATTAATTCAAGTGTCTAATAAATACAAAAGTGTGGGTGTCAATGAATACTTCAGCCAAATTTAAACTAGTAGTTCCTCAAGTGTTTTGGCATCATTTTAAGCGAATCCATTGTAATTTCTATGCTTCATGTAAATTAAGAGGATGCTAGATTTTCTTGTGACCAGAAGAAGCGACATTGTCAATATATTTGTTTACCTTGTGCAAGAATATGCATGACTGTCTTTAGGTCCTTTTATGGAAAATGATGAAACAACATCAAAATTCATACTTGCTATTCATCAACCAAAATTGATTTAGAATATGCAAATACCAAAATAAGGTTTTATATGAATGAGAATTAGGGACATGCAGCAAACAAATGGTCTAATTCTTCCTACTTTCTAACTCGGAGCTTATATATAAAAAATACATGTTACAGAAAAAATAAAGCGTTCTTTACTTAAGGGTAGCTTATTTCTGTATTTGCCTATATTATCCTAATATATATATATATTATTTAGATATAGCCGAGTTAGCAGTTCCAATTCGTTTTATTATTGTCCCAGATGGCATGTCCACAAATATGCACTACTAAATATTTTCTCTGCTCTCCTCAATAAAATAGTTTTGTAAATAGAATTTTTAACCCATTTCCCAGTAAATATTTTATTTTTATCTAAAGTGCCTATGGTACTTATATGGTAGTCGACAGATGGCGCTCTAAAATATTCAGATTTGTCACCGATTACTTTTTTTTATCCATTTAAACTGTAAGAATTTTACAAGGGTATGAATAATTGAAAAACTTTAAACCGTTTTTATTTTCAGTCAAAATTATTATAATGCAGTGATTTTTTTAAAGTACAACGAGAGTGTGTAAAGCTGCCATTTTATACAGTATTAGAAGTAACTAAGTATTTTTTTTCGGAACACAATATTAATCTACACCAACCAAAGAAAACAGCGATCAGTCTTTCACAGTGATTTTATATTCTAAAAAAATTGATAACATTTAAAACATAGTTGCAATTTGTTTATTGTTAAGCACAAAGCTACACAATGGGCTGGCTATCTGTTCTCTGCCCACTGTAGGTATTGAAACTCGACTTTTAGCGTGAAAAGCCTTCAGACTTCCCGCTGACCCATAGGGAGCATAATTGCAGCTACAGCGTGACTCAAATTTGGAAATAAAAACGTTACTTCAATTTTTGTTATGTGAATAACTTTTTATGAACATTTCTTCTTAATAAAACTTTATGTTATACTATGAAAAAGTGAATAACGATTTTAAAAGTCACACTAAAAAAAGAAATGAAATGAAAGCCTATAACTGTTCCTTTAATGTGATACATTAATTATTCTCCATATGTGGTTCTCTTTGAACGAGTGAACTTTTTAGCACTTAGAGAGTGAAAATCTTCAGACGATTTGCCATTTAAAAATGACAAGTCAAATATAATTTTTTTACCCTCCAGTCGGTTTCTTTCAACAAGTGAAGTCGTTTAACGATTTATTCTAAGACTTACTCAAAGTAAGAAGCTAAGCAAACTGGTCAAACATTATTAGGAGCTTATGTAATCAAAAGGAAGCAAATAAATGGAGTTTTTGCACGATAGTTGTCGACTTTCATATATGTGATAATGGTCAAACTCTGTACAGTTTAATATAAATGTAGTTTTTGCACCTTTTAGATAACTCAAGAAAGAATAAAGCTTTAGACTTATTCAATTATTACTGATATTGAATGTTAAAGAAAGGCAAAAACAACAACAAAAAACACACACACTCAAATCCGAATAAATTAACAACAATAGAATATATAATGACGTAAGTGGTCTCAAAAACAACCGCTTCAATAGACAGGAAAACTCTGAAAACGTTATGAATTAAATAACAACATAACAGACTGCATGATAATGGTTGAAATATTCTGCTTAGATCTTCGTTTTTTAGAAACAGTTGAATTAATAAGCGGTATATTTGTAATCTTTATGCAGTTATGAAGTTCAGATTATTAAATAAATAGACAGTTAAGTGTTCAAATTCGTAAAAATACAAAATTCATTTTTCGTTGGTGCTGAATAATAAAAGGTTGTTGAAATAAAAAATAAATACGTAGTTTTAAATTTGCAAGCGTGGTGTTTTAGGTAACTACGTTTAAATCGAATCTTTTCTAATTGATGCATACAAAAGAAATTCTTAGTCAAAATCTCTGACTAAAACATCAGGCTTAAAAATACATATATTTAAAAGTAGGTTAATATGCAAAATAGATGTTCTAGGCAAATTAGGGACACGGAGTACACATTCTAAAAAAAAAAAAACTATCTTGTACGCGGAGTATACAAGTTAAACCTAATTTGTTACAAACCTATATCCGTACTACATGAGTTAAATTTATGTTGATATCAACTTACTATGATTGTACACAAATTAGATACAAGTTTTTAAATTATCTAGTTATATTCTATTAGTAACTTTAACACAGGCACTTACTTTCCAACGCCGTTTCGTATTTCTAATTTTCTTCGAACCTGTGGCTATTGTGGACTCATCCTGTTCTGAAATTAGGTTCAGCTTTCAATTAGTTTTGCTTGAAACTAAGTGAAATTGTTCACTCTTGAAGCCGAAATGAAATGTTTCACTCTTGAGGCCTATTAGCTGCAACGAAGTTTTATCTGAACTGTTTTTTGTTTTCTTTACACATCTCTGATTTGAAATCCGTAAAGGCCTAACTCAGAAGATTTTCACGAAAAACGTCTGCATACAAAGATGATGTTTCACCTCATTTAATACCTAAATAGCTTTCTTGCCTTAACAGCATAAGTTTATTATTTTAATAGCTTCTTCTATAATTTAAAAAAATCCACTATTTAGTTACAGTAACTCAAAGGGTCACAATAAACCCTCTAGTAAAAATTGAATAATTGACAAAAATCGGTTTTAGAAAGAAACTGAATTTTTTGTTGTGTAAATCCTAAATGCTTATTTAATTACTAGTGAAGAAATCAATGAGATTGTTCAATGTTTTAATATAGCAAATTGTCTGTCATACAAGACTGTAATATAAAATTCTTTGTTAAGACGTATCTGTTATAAATTTAGCTGTTAACAGAAATAATGGTACATTTCTGTGATCGATTGATGTGATCGAAATCAAATCATTCAATTAAAATTTTAACTTCACTTTCCTCTTTTCTTGGTAAGAAAATATGTTAGAAGTATGATGTTTTACGTGTCCTGTATTCCTGTTCATAGTTATTCATAAAAAACAACTTGGACTGTTGGGTCGTTATAACCCATTTTGTTTGTATTTTTAGGAATCGTTGTATTACCAATCAAATTGAAAAGCCAGTACATTTTCTTACAAATAAAAAGACAGGTTTTTATAGGCATTATTTATCTATGGGTATTTCTGCTCGGGTTAATTAAAAAAAAAAACATTTAAGAAGAAAGCTGAAAGCAGAAGAGCAGTTTATCTTACGTACTATTTGAGTTTTTAAATGCTTATGTTGTCATTGGTTCCTATGTTACATTACGAAGTTGAAATATGTGTATGTATTGTTTTGTTTCATAATAGCCATGCAGAAAACCTTAGCGTTAAGCATTACTCAAAAAGTATGGACTAAGTGGGACTTCAGTAGAGTACCGTTTAGTTTAGGCAGTTTAGAATTAGGTTTATTCCACAGTAGTTTTCCAACCTTCATCTCTGTAATGTTTATATAAATATATCTTTCTAAACACGTGCACATTTATAATCTAGCAACATAATAAACACTGTTGCATGTTCTATCATGCAATAGTGATACAACTTACATTAAAGTGTTTTCTTTTTTGTGTGTTCAGTTGTTTGTAGCAATGAAGATGGTTAATTTGTTTATTTTTTCTTGAAGATGCCACTACTTTGTTGTGGAACTATAAACATAGAACTATTTGTATGTGTAACTTTGATTCAATGTTTAAAGTAGCGGTTTCATCACGAAAGTGAATTGGAGGTTGTGTCCAGAGCAAGTTAGTCTTCACCCTTCCCGACAGGATATTCTCGCGTTTTCAGGCGCCATATTGGGTTTTGCCCCACAGTCTTTTCTGATCGTCATTATTCTTATAGTAAAAGTAATGTTATATTAAAATATATAGTATTTCTTACCACAACTTTAATTAAGATGTTGTTCGTCTTCTAGCCACTGTTTGGTATTATTTTTGTCCGATTCTCAAGTATGGTAATTTTATTGATATTCTATTAATCTGTTTTTTTTAATAAGAATGCAAAACAACGATAAATCAGCAGATATTACAATGAAGATAAGATTGGATACTGATTGCGGTATCAAGTCTGATTAAGAGTAACTACTGGCCTCTTTCACCGAAAGTATCTTAGTTGAACGTAAGTTATTACACAGCTTTGGCTAATCTTAAAACTGATTAACCATATCAGCAAGTTGAACTCACCTGTTAAGCTGGAAGCCACTCTCTCGACACTACCAGAATCTCTTTAAATGTTTCTTCAAGTTGTTCTACTTTTCTTATGAAAAAATGATAATTCATATAATTTTAAAAGTTTCTCGTGGTCTAAGGTGGTCCGAATCTTACCGTTACAGCCAAAGAATCAAAATGGCTACCTTTGTCGAGGAACCACCCTGAAGAAGATAGCGTCATAGTGAAATCAAATCAACTCCTATTGGCTTGTTGCTCCTAACATAGGACTTTGATCAGAAAATATGTTCGTTCCCTTGACGACGCAGATAAGAGTTGTGCAAACTTGGTACCTACACCTGAGCCTTCTCAATGTATAGGTATTGTGATTTCAAACTTTAGCAAGTATTCTTGGAAATATTGGTATGCATCTGTTGATGAAAGCATTGTAAAACAGTTCATCTTCAATTGATGCCATAATTTCTTCCAAGGTACCATCTTTAATTTAGGAAACTACTTAACTTTCTAAATCGAAATCATACAACTCTGAAAATGAGACAGAAGTTCATAGGTTTCTGTGCAAAAATAAACTGTTTTACAAGTTAGCTTTACCTGCATGTGTATACACATGTCCTTGTTTCATATCATGTCCGTTATCTCTACTGGTATACGCTCAATTCAAACCTTTACGAGGTCGCAAAAACTTACACTGTTGTAAAGGATAGAATCTCATTCTTCTAAATTTGTAAATTTCTATTTCGCTATATTGTGTGCCATGTTAAGTGAACTAAGGTTAATTAGATTAAAAGTGTTTTTCTTCCTTAGTGCAACGTACATTCATTTTGTTTCTCACCAGTGAAACGTACTCTCGTAAAACCATAGTTGCCCTTGTGCTTCATAGATACTTTTACAAACATCTTGTTAATAGAATTTTCTATTGTTATATTGATGTTATTTTTATATTGTTTGTTTTAACTGCGATTATTCAGTGTTTAATAGGTATTTGTGTTGTAAGATTTTGCAAAGGAAACAAGATCATGAATTATTTCTGAGTAGCCCAGTTAGTAACAAGATCGTAAGTATTTATTGCACCTTTAAGTATTTTCATCGCTCTAATCTTTAAAGAAGAACAAATAGTGTTATGAAATTGAAAACTCATTTGGATGGCTTTATGTCAAAGTTTCCTGCATTACTAGGGAGTGTCGTTTTCAGGAAATGGTCGAACGTATGAGATGCTTAACTCATTCACTGCTATGTTTATAGATAAACAACTCTCCCAGTGCCACGTTTATTCATAGATAACCAATAAAAACAAAATGGCATGCTTTAATATTTTATTACCTACGTGAAACGTGTAATTGGTAAACCTGGGGAAGTCTGAAGGCGAATAGCTTTTCTTCGGGTACAAAATTCCAAATTCACACGGCGGTGTTCTAGAGGAAAACATATGGGTCCATGGCGGCGAAAGAATTAAACAGACAGTTGGCCAAGAACACGTAAATAAGTTCTAACTATAAGTGTCGTAGCGACAGATGTAACAGTTAGTCTTAGCTTATTATGCATTGTAAAGTTATTGGTGAGATGACTATATTGCCCTCTTCTTTCTCTTAAAGTTACAGTTACACATCTGACACAAAAATTACTGAAAATTCTTTTAAAAAGTTGTCTCCAAATGTGCTAGAATCGAATGCCAAGTTGTTTTTTTTAATCAAAGAGAATATATAGAATTTATAGAATATATCGATGAAGAAAAAACACGAACCATAAGAAAAATCCTAAATAAATAACATTGTGAGTAACTACGATGAGCTCAAAAAGGATGCAAAGCTCGGATTTTAAAGATTCTTTTTAAAAAGTTACGAGAGACATTTAGCGGTATTTTTTGGTGTGTGTGACAGTGAATTAGGCATGGTTTTAACTATCTACAGATAATTAAAAAATCTATGATTGTCTTTACACAATTACAGAAAACACGAAAAAATGGATGTTTTATTAATGATTACAGTATTTTATTCATTTAACTATATAAGTTAACAAACTTTACAAACATTATTTTTAATTGTTATCTGCCAATTGAGCAACGATTAACATTTTATCCTAGAGAACTCTTATTATACCTAAAATAACCTTACTAATAATTTTAACATAGTTAAAGATTACTTGACATTTTTAAGGAATTTGAGATATAGAAGTAATGTTATGTTTATTTTTGTGACTAATTATCCACCCTCTATTCTCTTTACGCGAGTATAGACAGGAAATTGTTATGTACCAGCGTATCTGTGATTATATCAAATGCTCAGTGTCACACCCACGATAGTGAACGATGCCTAAATATATTGTTACTTAGTGAAATGAATACACAATACCGACACAAACACCAATAACAATTAAGCACTTTGTTTTGTTTTATTTAGCCTAACGATCAAAAATTAACTTTAGATTTCTATGAATTCATCGATTTTTGAGCTCTGAATTTTTTCAGAAGTGCTGCATATTGCATACATCCATTAATAATATAGCAGTATTTGTTAGAGGGAAATATTTTACATATAAATTAGTAAGTTCGTAACAAAGGATATCTAAAAACAGCTAATACTTGTATTGCGGACATTTACTCGACAGTTAATGCCGATATAATATTATATTGCAATGAAACAACAAAAACAAATGTTACATAAAATAAGTGAAAACATGCTGTTATTACCTTTATTTAAATAATAATTAGTTTAACGTTTTGTGTTCTTACATTGGAACTTTAAACGAACACAACTTTAGTTTGTATAAACCACCACCGTAGTGGTCAAATATTCATTATTCACTTATAACCACATGAAGAGGCTAAAGTATTTGAGTTGTTTTCCAAATTAGAATAATAACAATAAAATTTTATTACTTTAAATAGTTCCTTACGTTATTTATGTATATATGAACCAGATTCATGAAAAATAAACGTATTCTTAATAGATGGTTGGATTTTTTAAATATGTCCAACTTTACATTCCTTAACTTTCATGTCAATATGAGTTGTTGTTTTTTGTATTTGCTTTATTTTCCGCTAATATCAACGATTAAACTAATATTTGCGTTTAACAAACAAAAATTTCAAATAAATGAATAGTTTAGTATTCCTTACTATTTTGTTTTTGTAAACACTTCGTGATAAACTAAACAATTTGAACTAATTTTGACACATTAGTTAGCGATAGTATATCCTTATTTTAAGTTTTTAACATGAGAGAGTTTCATCAAGTGCAAGTCAGGACGTTCCAGAATGTGTTGACAACAGAATTTTAGAACAAAGGGTTTACTTGATACAACCTCTAATAATTTAGGGCAAATTACGATACACGTTTGAGAACATTAGATATGAAACTCAAGACAATCAAGCAAGCCTGTGTTCCAACATTCGTTTGACGTAAGCGATTATTATTTGTAATCTATTTATGTTCTATATGTCTGGCTGAATATAAAATAAGAAAACAATAATTTAAGTTACGGGAGCAGAACCTGAGGCTTATTTTATGCATTAACTTTATTTCGTTACAGTGTTTTGCACCTATCTTTTTTTTTTTTGGCTTAAAGGTAGACTTTGGATAAGAGAAATTTTATGCAAGCTAAAGCCCTCTTACAAAACATCACTCTGCTCAACTGATGATAAGTTCACCATCACAACTGCAAATTAGATCTATCTTCAATCTACTTTCAAATCATAGAGGTTCCATTAATAGAGGATTAAGTCATAATCAAGCTTGTAATCTTGTTTCTGTTTGTAATTTTACTTAATAATCAAAAACTGATGTCAGCAGGTGTGACAGCGGTAAGTCTTCGGATTTACAATGCTATAATCAGCGATTCGATTCTCCTCAGTGAACACAACAAATAGCCCAATGTGGCTGTGCTATAAGAAAACACACACAGAAATTGATTTTGTGTCAGTTTTAATAACATTATATTCTTCATACATCTTCTGTTTAAACAAATACTTTTAAATTTTACAGCCTAATATATCCTGAGTACGTTATTAGTGATAGCTTCTAAAGATAAATAAATTATATAGATAAGTGTACAAATAAATCAAGTACTCATAACTATGTCTCAAATATGTACGAAACCTAAGGCCAACACATGAAAGTGCCTAGCCATAGAGTAAAGAATAACAACTAATTTAATATCAACGTTAGATCTAGAAATACATCTTAATTTGTGCTTAATTTACAATTAGACCATTTAGTTTGTTAACTATATAATAATTTCTAACGAACATAGACTTTAGAAGCATATGGAAAATTCACATTTTATAAAATCTGTAAAGCATAAATTGTATTATGTCGTCTGTTGGGTACTTTCTGTGTTAAAGACGATTTAAGCTGCGAAACCAACAACATCTATTAATGTTTTGCCTGCTTAACATATTAAAAGAAAATTACTACAATTTCCAGTTAAATTACTTTATTACATAGATGTATTACCTGTCTAAGTTACAAGAAAAAATCCAGACCTATGTTTCAGCTAATAACAGTAAAATAATGCAGAAAAAACTGTCAAGACAATTTTCAAATGTGTAGCGTTTATAAATAATTTATTTAGTTTTGTCTTTAAACGTTTTCATTTCGGATATTGTAATCATATATGTTTTTAGATCCTATTCATATCTAATTTATGTTTTATCTTATGAAGAACAATCCCACGTCAATTCTCAGTATCTTAATTTATTTTCAGGTACATTGTACTCCCGTATATTGAAATTAAAACATAACACGACATTTTTTTGTTTTGTTTTTGCAAAATGAAAGATAAAATATTTATTAGGTGTTTCAGCCGACTATCTTAGGTAACACAATTACTGTCATGAGAGCAGAAACATTTATTAAATACGTTATCTTTCATCGTCGTTTTTGTTTTTTACTTTTAATATCTATCTTGTTCTTGATAACTCTAACAACGACTAAAACTCTTTAAAGAACAACGCTCACGTGTAAGTTTCTGAACTTTTGTCTCTATGACTACTTTTGATCTCACATACTATTTTTTACTTAAAGCCAATGAATGTCATCTTTTCAATTGAAAAGCCACAAAATAATATTTCAGAAAGAGAAAACGTAGAACAATATTTACCTTTCTACAAAAGGTTTTACTACAAACGCAGAACTTAGCTCCAAGACTCACACATCAGTTTCTGTAACGAAAGTGGAATC